TCGAAAAAATTGCAAGCCTTGAGACAAATTCACTTTACTAAGAATCTAAAGTAGAAATAACGAACGAAAGAGAAGACTCATAGGCTGCGCTAAAGGACTATATACCAACTATGGTGAATTTTTATAGCCTGGGAGCAGGCTATGAAATGCGCATACGCATCAAAGCATTGCAGGACGCGCGTTTCTTTGCTCGCGGGAAGAGATTGGAGACAAGAGGTATGCTGAGGGACTGGCACTGATAACGAGCCTCAATATCAATACCAGACCTATTGCAGACCTCTCGTTGCTTAAGGCCTCATACTTTCCCGCTAGCGAAGAAACACTCATGCCGAGGCCCCAATGACGAGAACCTGCTTCTGTTTACGATGTTCCATACGCGGAACTTTCACGTCGTATTTCAGAAACTTTTGCTTCATCGGGAACAGCTAAGTCTAGTTGAATATCTACAACTCACAAAAGTAGCTTTGTCAAGATCTTCTGATCACAATTAACGATTACAAACTTGACAAGAAAGCAAGCACAAAATACTAATCTGTTTAGAAGTTAAATAGAAAAATCGATAACACAAACCAAAAAGGTTTGACACGGACTCGAATTGACGAACACGGAAAGTTTACCATGTAGCGTGAAAATCTCGCAGTAGTTTCGGTTGGCGGAACGACTTGGTTCTGATTCAAAATTAATGAAATTTCTGCCGGTACTTTTTTTAAGGTTTTCTTTTCAAGCTGCAGAATATCAAAGCAAAAGAGGAGCGAGCTGCAAAGTGGATGATTCGTAGATAAAGATTTCGAGTGACACTCGAACACGAAGTGAAACTTAATTCGCAGGCGGATATTTTCAATGACTAAAGGTAGTAAATTCTTTCCAGCGTCTTATTTTTTAAGGATTTTTTTTTCTAGAACTATTTTAAGCGGATCAAGGATAACTCCGGAAGGATGAAAAACACAGCCAAATTTTCAGCAACACAGTTGGTAATGATTTCGCACACAAGGCGAAATGGTTCCTTTAGAGTCTTAGAGTTAGTGCTGTGTACCAAAGTAAGGATTTACAAACGAGAATCCTCGGAATTGTCCCTGGTCCATTGACTGCAGCAAATCTTTGTCTGTTGGAGTGAAGCGTGGTGCTTCCATAGTGAAATCGGGATCAAAATTATTCGTATCGTGGTCTGAACCCTGTTGGGGTAAAACAGGGACCAAGGGTTAGTAATGTGAAAAAAAAAAATCATCATAAAAATATCACACTCATGGAGCTGAGTATCTTTCGTACCACAATCTCCCGTTTTACAGTTTCCTGTACAACCCTTGTTCAGCCCAGTAAGAACACACTCTCTAATCCCCTTCAACGGTTGCTTTTAAGGCCGCGTTAGTCAGAAAATACTTTTTCCTTGCTTTATATTCTTTGTCTTGGACTCAATGCGCTCTTGAAATCCTAAGTTATCTTTTTATTCTTGCATTTTGCTCACGTAGGAACTTTTTGGAGTGTTTACCACTTTCCTCCCTCCACCTCGGAAATCAAGTTTTATCTAGTTCTTTTCTCTGCTTTTTTATTTGTAGTTGTTTCAACAAGAATGTTGTGATGTGTTTTGGCAATTGACTATAATCAGCCCATTCCTCCTCACTCTTGCGCAAGTTCTACCATTTCTTTGACAGTAAGGGATAATAACCCCACACCTCTCCTCGCTTCCCCTTCCCTTCCCTCCCCTCCGCCAACAGCAGTTGACCTGGGACTGGCCGTGAGAATTAAGATGGCCACTTACCACATTGGGTTTGAATGGCGGGGTTAGTCTCCTGTCTTCAAGCTTAACCCAATCAATGCGCTCGAAAAACTTGTGATTTCGTATGGCCGGGTTGGTTCCATTTCTGTAGCCAAGCCTCTCCATTGGAGTCCTTTCAAAGAGCTACAAGAATGCGATTTAAACAAGGAAAGAAAACAGTTGGTGACGTCTGATGTCATGCTAGTTATAAAGAGCACGACACGCTTGTGTTGGTGTCACGCCATGCTCAAGAAGAATTGGAAAGGCTATTCCCACTAAAAAAAAGGGCTAGCGTGACGAGTCAAGTGTTACTTCATCCAGGACGAAAAACCAATAGTCTCTCACGAAACGGAAGGCGTTACACGACACTCCAAAGAACAGTTGCGAAGGAGACTCGCTCACGATCGAAAGTCGAGAAAATCTTTGGCAAAAGAATCGCCAGGCATGGCCGGACTTACAAGTCCTTTATACGATCTCTGCACCTTGCCTGATATAACAGATAGAAGAGGTATTGTTTTAACGTCGGTTACAGGTTAAGCTAGGTTAAGACAATACAAAGAGGTAATATTGCTTGTATGTAATACTTTTGTCAGAGCTTTATTACATCATTAACCCTTCACACTTTTAGATCAGTGTGCTTATTCTCCATACTTTCCCTATAATGCTAAGGATGTTAGTTTCATTTCGTTTATGCTCGTGACGAAATGAACACCAACTTAGTGAGCTCTTGATAGTTCAACGAATTCTCCTTGTCATTTACCAAAGGAAGTCTCTGGGAGAACAGCATGGATAGTAGGCATACCGACGTTTGGGTGCACAGGATTTTGCCAGGATCAAAAACTGTGCCGAGAGTTAAGATCAAATGTCAGCCCTCCTTTCATGCCGTAGAGCGTGAACTGTACTAACCTGGCTCAAGCAATCTTCTGCAGGTTGTGAGATCCATTTCGGATAATGAACTCTGTCGCGGCAGATGGAGTCAAATAGATCTTCTTCGTCTTCACCGGCGAACGGAGACTGTTGAGAAAAACGAAAATCACAATGTAATGTGAATAACACATCAAGAACGCTTATGCCTGGAATTTTGTCACCGTTAGACTATCGAAAAGGGGAAACTTCCACTCGAGTTACATAATGTCTCCAGAACAAAACGTTACAATTTCTGGGTAAAAAAATTACTAATGGTAATAGGAGCGAAGGGCTAGCGCTCGAAACGTCAGCTTTGAAACTCTTCGCGGTGGCCAGTTTACTTTATTAACTCCGTTGATAAAACCAAAATGACCTTGTTACTCTCACCGACGCAGCACCACAGTTTCTTTCGAAACTTACCCCCTTTAAT